AAAAGATAAGTACAATAAATAAATTAAAGCAATAGGCGGTAATTCCAGCCATAATGAATAAATTGCATTTAAGTAAATAAAGCTTGTGACAAGGGCTTTAATTCAGCACCATCAAAACTTAAAGCAATAGGCGGTAAAACCATCCATGGTAAATAAATTGCTTTAAAGTAAATAAAGATTGTGACAAGGGCTTTGATTCAGCACCATTCACATAAATATCAAAGCTTTAAAGCAAAGGGTAATAATTCTACCCACTATAAATAAATTGCTTTAAATAAATAGAACTTGTGACATGGGCTTTAAACCAACACCATGCACATAAATAAATATATAATTTTATTATTTCTTTTCATAATGGTGATGGTCTCATCAACTTCCCACTATCAACTTTATTATTATTTTTTATTATTTCTTCCCTTCACTTCTGTCGGGGCACCCATCCAAATTGTCCTTATTTTATTAATGTTTTCATTTCACAACAACAAGTCCTTTTAGTTACTCAGGAAGTAAAAGTAACAATAAGTTCCAATTGGTGTTCCTCCTCCGGTGAGTTTCGAAAAAGTCGAAACGGTTCCTATAAGTTTTGGAGTCAAGAGTGTCTGCAACTTATGAGAAGATCAAACCGTTAGATTTAGTTCAAATTTTAGTATGATATGGATAAGAGGATACCAAACAACTTTTGTGAAGAAACAATTTCGATTTTGAGCTACAGAAATAGAGTTATGGTACTCATAAGGTGGCTGTCCAGTTTTCTGCGGAAATTGGAAACTGGTTTAGTATTTCAGACATCTGCAACGATCGCACCGTTAAAGTTTTCTGAAATTTTGATATGTTGTAGATACTGAGTGGACGAACAACTTTCAAGAAGAAAGTATTTTAATCCGAGGTCCGCAAGTTGGAGTTCAGAGGCTGTTTACATAGCTGTCAAATTCTTTACGAATTTTGAGTATGTACTATTTTGCTTCTGCAAATGATGATATACAGTCATACAACAATATATATAGTTGCTTCAAGAAAATCAATTGTACTGAGATTTGAAGATGAAATGAAAATTGTTTCTTATATGTGAGATTCCAGCTGAAGGAGGTGAACAGGATTTGTGGCGTTGTGCTTTCCACTGACATGAGAGCTTCTCGTGCTGATAACGTGTTGTAAAATCGACTGTGGGTGCAGTGGAATAAATGAAACAAGACACAAAATTTACGAGGTTCCTCTACAATCAGTGTGACTGGAGTACGTCCTCGGGGCAGTAGTGGTGCTTTCATTATAATTTGAAATAATAGGAGTACAAAAATAACCCTCTCTATTATCTCCTCTCATCTTCCTCTCTTTTCTCTCTTTCCTTTCCTTCCTCTCTCTCCCCGTGAGTCCCTCACATTCATCTCCAATTCTTCCTTTTTTTTTTTATCACCCCTTTTGAACACTTGTAATGCTCTATTTATAGAGCAAACAAAACACTATTAAACTTGTGAAATGTTTACTATGTGCATGTGGGGTTACTATGTTCATGTGGGCATACATACACAATTTACAACATGTTCTTGGATAAAAGTAATAGAGAGACAGAAAGAAGTTGTACTCAGAACTTTAGGGAAAGAAAATAGGACAAGGATTGTCTACCCTCCTAGTTGTGGTGCCCTTCCATGCCCTCCTATTTTATGCGGCCACGGTTAAGCAACGTTAATATTTTATATTTTTATTATTTTTTGTCTTATTATCTCATTAAAAAATTAATATAAAATATTGACGTGGCTTAACCGTGACCGCACAAAATAGGAGGTCATGGAAGGGCACCACAACTAGGAGGGCAGACAATCCTTGTCCAAGAAAATAAGTGTTTTTAAAATGGGAATTGTTATTAATACTAAAAAAATCGCATTCTACGTTCTAAATTTTCTATATTAGAAAAAAAATACTTATAAAAAATGTAGAAAAAAATATTTAGAGTGTCAATAACATTTCCTTTTCCCGTAACTAAATTATAAGCTTCTCGTAAATCAGCGTGTGTTTGTGTGCGAACATTCATGGGTATTAATATTTTTAAATTACAACATAAAGTTAACCAATAGCAAAATTACAGCAAGAAGATTGTGTACCCATGACGTGACCACATTGTGCAATCATTTCTCATTTTTCAGATCAGTATATGGATTTTCCCATGCAGTTGGTCCATAAAATATTAAATTAATCATCAATAGGGAACTTGCCTCGAAGTCACCCATTAGATTTATTTAAGGAACACTTTGATGTGGTCCTTAACTATCAATATTCTTTGATTGAAACCTTTTTAATTTTTAGTTTTTTATTGAGGTCCCTGACATTAATGTAATAATGTAAGTTACTATATTTTTTAAATTAAAAATTAAAAATTGAAATTTGTAATTGTTTATATTAATGAGATTTTAAATAAAACCCATAATTTATGGGATTAAAAATAATAAAATATAAATTATACTCTCTATTATATTGTGTGTGTGTGTGTGTTTGTGTATATATGTAACATCCCACATCGCCCAGGGGAGCGATCCTTAAATGTATATTCTCATCCCTACCTAGCACGAGGCCTTTTGGGAGCTCACTGGCTTCGGGTTCCGTCGGAACTTCGAAGTTAAGCGAGAAGGGGGCTAGAGCACTCCCAAGATGGGTGACCCACTGGGAAGTTGCTCGTGAGTTCCCAGAAACAAAACCGTGAGGGCGTAGTCGGGGCCCAAAGCGGACAATATCGTGCTACGGTGGTGGAGCGGGCCCGGGAAGTGATCCGCCCCGGGCCGGGATGTGACAATTGGTATCAGAGCCAATCCCTGGCCGGAAGTGTGCCGACGAGGACGCCGGGCCCCTAAGGGGGGTGGATTGTAACATCCCACATCGCCCAGGGGAGCGATCCTTAAATGTATATTCCCATCCCTACCTAGCACGAGGCCTTTTGGGAGCTCACTGGCTTCGGGTTCCGTCGGAACTTCGAAGTTAAGCGAGAAGGGGGCTAGAGCACTCCCAAGATGGGTGACCCACTGGGAAGTTGCTCATGAGTTCCCAGAAACAAAACCGTGAGGGCGTGGTCGGGGCCCAAAGCGGACAATATCGTGCTACGGTGGTGGAGCGGGCCCGGGAAGTGATCCGCCCCGGGCCGGGATGTGACAATATATACATATATGTATGGGTACATTAACCAAAATTAACAAAAAAAGTTAATTGTACCAAAACATGGATACATTCTCAAAATCAACGAAAAAGAATGTACCCATATAAGTTTAAACATGGATTAAAAAATTTGAATGGATTTTATATTAAAAAAAAAGGTACATTTTACGTATAACAAATTGATATATTTGAGAATGGTACATTTAAGATTAAAAAAATTGAAAAATTATATGAATGGGTACATTTAAGATTAAAAAATTGAGAATCTTTTTATATATAAAAAAAAACTAATAGGTACAAACTTAATTTAATTTAATTTTTTATTATTTTGGAAATGTTTAAATTGAAAATTAATTAGAAGTTTAATAGAGGTGTGAGTATTAAACCCTAAATTAATTACTAATTTTTATATTAAAAAATTATATAATAAACATGTAAATTCATTATCACATTAATGCTAGGGACTTGAATCAAAATTTGAAAACCAATAAGGTCTTAGTCAATGAACAGTAAGAACTAAGGACCGGATACTAATTTTTCCTTTATTTAATTGAATTTTTGTTTTTTATTAGTTAATAAATAGTGTCATTCCCAATTTGGTGGATTATTATATCTCTTTGATTATTTAGATATAATATAGAGAAATTTTCATTGTGGCCAAAACTTGATGGTACACTACGTATTTTTATATAAATGGTGAAAAAATTTATTTCTTAATTTATTAACTTTTTAAGACACATATATTACCATTTATATAATAACACGTGATGTACTACTATATATTCTTGTCATATTAAAAAAATCTCTGATAATTAAGGAGACAATCCCCCTTCGAATGTGCCAAGCATGGAGGGATTGACTTACTTTCCAGGCTAATGCTTCTACACCCTTAAGCCTAGCATGACCATTATAAATAGACGTCTCATAGGTGAGGGTTATGAGGGTTACGAACAAAGTGGGAGTTACACTATTAAATTAATTGATAATATGAGAAGTAACCTAATATTTTATAAGCACATGAAAGGATTTCCTTTTCTCGACATGGGATTGATACTCTTAACAAACCCCTTAAGTGTGGGAGAGTTTTAAGCCTAGCAATTAGACAACACAAATTGGATGATGTAGAGCAATAAAGAAACTAGCACGTGGACAACTCAAATTGGTTGATGAAAAACAATAAAGAAAGTTAAGGTTACAATATAAAACCAATTGGTAATATATCTTATAACCACATTCAAAGTCCCCCATTTTCCCAATGTGGAAGTGATACTCTTAACAGGTTAAAAGGCATCCAAGAAACAACCTCCTAGCTGAAAGTTTTAAGTGGAATTTCTCCCACCCTTCACACAAATCGCTCCCTACAAGTTCGAGTCTAGCAAGGTGTAGGCGAGAGAACTATGTCGATTGGATCCATGAGCTAGAGCAAAGGGTACGCAGGCAATCTCGCTGGGCTAGATGCAACCAAATCCTACGGTGGTGGTGTTTGTGCTCGCAAACAAATTAGTCTTGTAAGAACAAGACGGTGATCCACAATTCGTTACTTCCGCTAGGTATGATCCTAAACGAATTCCCCTTAATATTATAATTTCCCAACTTCACCTAAACTAAGGGACACATGACAACTGCATGTGGTCCAATATCCTATGAATAAGGACGTTGAATTTCCATCCATGCATTCCGGGTTTAAAACTCTCATTTTCTAAATTATTATAATAGTTTCGAACGCTCTCCCTTTTTTAAATAATAATAAATTTGTTTTGTTAAAAAGAAAGACACATGACAGCTAAGCAGAAGGTCATATAATTAACATCTTCTAAGTGCCCCACCTCAATGACTCCTCCTAAAAGATAAATACCAGAGAAAACAAGCACAATACTATTGAAATTGCATTTACTTGTGTACCGTAAAAGTCGTCTCTTTTTCGTTACATTAAAGAAAATCGAAAATTGAACCTATCATAATTCTGAGGTTCAGAACATGTACTAATCAGTAACTAAATACATCAGTCAGTAATTTGTAATTACGATATTACAAGGCCAATAATGATACAGCTTCTTCAGGGCCGGGGCCGTGCAACGGCGGTTTGATTAGAGAGCTTAATCAACCACATCATCACTAAACAGCTTAAACCGGTTGGCATCAAGAACCAGTTTCCTTACAGAAGAGAATGTTCCCAAAAGTCCTGCACCTGTGAACACAATGATTATAGATATGTTCATCCAGTAAGTGAAGGTTGATTTTGCAGGCTTGTAGGTTTTGTTGTACAGAAGCATTGGGAGGATGAAATCTAAAGGGATGAAGCCGACAGCTCCAACCACACCGCTTATGTCTCCGAAAAACGGAAGCATTGCTGCGAAAAATCCGCAGAGTGCCATGTACAGCGACCGAAGAATTATTCGGGGAATGAGATTCCTTTTTGAGAACATTCCTTGTTTGACATCTGCTGATTTCTGTTCCATGATCTCATAAGCAACTTGGGAATAAACCTTGCATCGAATTAGAGAAAGACTACCTCAATACAAATTTACACAGCCTAGGACATAAAAAATTTCAATTTTCTTAAAAGTACAAGAGTAAGCTTACGAGGCCAATGGCGAGAAGCTGTAGGAGTACAAAGATCACAGTAAGTCCAAGAACCCAAGTTGGAGCCAGAGAAGGTCCCTCATCCGGCATTAGGCTATTGAGAATGTTCGAACTAGATTTGTTCCCAAACACCCAGTATCCGGACACTGCAGTCGAATAGAATGTAATGAAAATTACCGCGTAACACATCACGAGACCTTTCACCATCTTTCCAGTAGCTGGTGGCGCCAAGGTTGCCTGCATTGATCCATTGCATATGATAAATTTTATAAAGAAGCATATGGTAAGCAAGAGCTTGTTTTGGCATTGTTCTTTTATGTTCACAATTTCGCACCAACACTAGATGGAAATTCATGATATTCGCACTAAAACTAGAAATTCACATGGTGTTTCCAATCAGGCTACCAGATCATGCGACAGTCGTGCAAACTAGCATTTGAAAGCTTGGAATTCTAAAACTGATAAAAACTTGCAAAGACTCAGTATTTACTTGTATTTCAGGTAGTATTCCATTCCCAAAAATAGCAGCAAATATGGAGATGGAAGTGAAGGCACTGAAGAGCCTTGTTGAAGTTGAAGATTCTAAAGAATAGTCCCTTGCGGGGGGATTCTTAGAGGCACCTAGAGGAAAAAAGACATGTTTACCATACAATTAGAACTTTCAATTCTAGAATAAACAAATTTCATATCGAATAAATCAATACGTTACGTGGCCCTTGTTGACAAATAATCCGTCATTACTGCCGGACAATAGAAAGCTCAGGAGGAATGAGGGTTGTTAATGACCAATGCAAGTTTTGGTACCGAGAAAAAATTTGTTGTTCGAACTCCTCTGGAAGAATCAAGTTATTTACTCTCTTTTTTTTTCCTGGTGAACATAATGAAACCTTGAACTCGAGAAAAAGCACACTGCTGCATGAAAGATGGCCGCATGAAAGATGGCTAGAAAGACACATGTGTAATTTCTTTGTATAAGTAATGCATGGAAGTAAAATATAAATGAGGATGTTGATGGGATATTGAAGGATGAAGTACCTGCATAAATACATGCACCGACCACCAGGAACGAGTATCCTAAGCTGAGAAGCAGCGAAACAAAGTTGATGTGCCTGAGGGAGTGGAAAGTTGGAAGCTGAGAGATGACTATCATTACCACGGTAACCATGGCTATGAAGTGGTACAATTTCAAAGATCCATTGGGAGAAAGCTCTGAGTACATAATCTTAACAATAAAACAAGATGACAATAAGACAATGCAAGGTTAATAGAATCTAACTACTGCATTGCAATGCTGGAAAAGAGAAAAACGAACACATCTCCTACGTAGTAGAAAGCAGTTTCTGCATGCAAATCTTCATTGATCCATTTAACATTGTTTCCATAGAAAAATGCTAGTAGTAACTGGTTTGCCTGTGCTGAACCAGCTCAACATGCAAAAGTGATTAACAAAAAAGTGCTTTTCTGTTAGTCGTTTTTAATATTGTGTGTGCGGTTTGGATGTGAAACTGGGAGATTGAGATGAGGCTTAGATTCGTATCCCTATTGGTTTGAAAGCGGCGACAATGGAAAATTTATGTAGTATCTCTATCTGATCATTCTCCCCACGAACCCAAAATGTGCTATTTGCTTGATCAAATTAAGTTTTTTCCAATTTTAATTTATTAACCTTGGGCCTCGTTTGATAGAGAGGATAAGCTTGGAAATGGCTATTCTCCTTTTAATTATCTTTTGATTTTGTCAATCCAAAGTTGTGCAGAGAGAGAAAACAAGTGTGCAGATATCACTTCCCGTATAGACAAACCAACACATTATTGCACGTGTTGATGTGAAGTGATGAAGATGATGATGCAATAGATACCTTGAGGCATTCCCCAGAAAGCAAAATAGCTCCTATTCCAACCCCAGTGTTTATAGCCGTTTGAATGAATATGACGAAATAATACATCCATCCTGACCCTATAAAAATAGAATCCCACACTTAATTAGTTTACCATCCAAAGCTCCCATATATACAAGTGCTTATTCAGCAGAAGCATCACATGACTCAAAAGTCAAAAGCAATGCTTAATCAAATGCAACTTGTTTAGCACTAATTACAAACTAACAAAACCCGCTTCCTTTATTTAAATATGCACAGACTGTCACGTGCACATAAAAGTCAGAGCTCAAAGCATTCAATCCAAGCTTACCAAAACATTCCCAAATCACGGAACGATCCCAGCGATCCAAAATTAGAAACAGAAGAAAAAAAACCCCACGGAAGCAAAGATTTTTTTGTTACCTAAGACGTCGGCGGCGAGCTCACGGAATCGGATGTGGCGGCGACCCTCCCTCTCACAGTGGTCCAGCACCATCGACATGAGGTAGTAAGAGTAGAAGGTCACCAGGCCCATGATGGTCAGGCAGAGGAACCCCGGGCCCCACCCCAACCCCCTAAACGCGTACGGCAGCGTCAGTATTGTGGGCCCCACTATCGCCGTTGTCAGATGGAACCCCGCGTGCCACCACTGCCCTGCATATTTTTAACATAATTAGAAAAGGAAAAAAAACAAAATTAATTGACTGGAGGAAAATTGAGTAAACGGCGATGGGAAGGGCTGACGTGTGACCTTTGGATTGGAGGACGAAGACGGCTCCGGCGTCGGTTTCGCGGCGGGTCTCGAGGAAGGGTTCGGGGCTGGGAAGTTTCGCCATCTTTTGATTCGAGAACAGCCGAGAGAGGAGGAGGAGGAGGAGGAGGAGGAGGAGGAGGAGATGCAGCAGCGGGTGTGCAGGTTAAGGGATGATTCAATGGAGTAAGGAGGCGGGCGTAGGTTAGTTGAGTTGTTTGGAAGTAGCTGATTCCAGCTGTGTACTAAGCTAAAGTGCGCGGGGGAGAGCATTTGCCGCCCGAGGGAAACATTGACATTCTTCGTTTGATCCACGCAATGAGGTGGTTTCTTTTAACTTATTCAGTTATATTCTCAAACTGAAACCTCTCACCCGGAATTTACATAATTGCCTCTCCCCGCTGGGATGTTGTCAGAGTTTTTTTGGTCTTTTCACCTAGCTTACAGTGGTGTCAAGGAACAAATCTAATATATTAGATCTGACATTCGTGTCGTGTTTTCTGTGTTCGTGTCGTTTTAGTATCATACCTGATATCTTAATAGGTCGTGTCGTGTAAGATCCGTTAAAATAAACAGGTAAAATGACCCGATCCGAAACTGATTCGATAATATTAATAGATAATATGACCCGACTTTTACCCGTTAAGGAAAATATATTTTAAACCAATAAATAATCAAATGAAAAACATAATACTAAATAAATATATACATACTATATTGTCACATCCAAAACATAAAAACACATTTTTCTTTTTAGTATATTTTCGCTTACCTAAATTGATCAAATGGTAAAATTGGAAAATATTGGAATAGAGAAGGGGTTTTTTCATCCAAAAAAGTTCTAATAATATAAGTGAAATAGAATCCAACAGTACAAATTTACTCTCATTTATCTTACGATTGTTATTTAAGTAATGTCTTTAATAGTTTTTTAATTCATGTAGAAGTGTAAAAAATATATAAACGCTCGTAATGACAAGCTTTACAACTTTCATGAAGAGCTTAACTTCGAAATTTGCCACTATAATCACATAAATCATAGAACAAAATTTAACCGTTGATTGTTGTTTACATTTACGCTTCATTGTTCTTATCAAATTTTGTTTTTTCAGATTTTCTTTTTTGAAAACATGATTTATTAGAGGATGTAGGAAGATGAACGGTTTGAATTGTTGATATTATATTCAGAGTTTTACGATTAATGAAAATATTGCTTGATGTTTATAAAGTTTCTACAAACTATATGACATTGACTCATATTTCAGTTAACTGTAAATATCGAAACGTGATATCAAAGATCTGAACCGTTCATCTTCTTACATCCGCCAGATGATCATGTTTTCAAAAAAGAAAATTAAAAAAATAAAATTCAGTAAGAAGAATAAATGACAATCGATGGTTAAATATAAATTTAAGGTTTATGGATTATAGTGTTAGATTTCGAAGTTGACCCCTTCATAAAAGTTGTAAAGCTTCTCACTATGAGTGATTGTATATTTTTTTTTTACATTTTTTACACTTGTATAATAATAATTATTAATTTTTCCATCAAATAAAAACATTATTCATGAGGGTTTGAAGGATTTTAAAAATCTAAATGATAATGTAAGTGTAATTATTATCTACTCGTGGAGGAATAATTATGAATCATGAGTGTATATATTCTTTCACATTTTTCATACTTGTATGTATGTTTTATTAGTTCTTGCCTATACAAATACTATACTAGTTTATTTTAATTTTGGACAACAACATGTTAAGTAAAATTTATCCTAGTAATGATAATAAGAAACTATCATAATAAAAATAAATAATGACTAAATTTTTTTTTAACTTGTATAGAATAATAATACAAAACTATATATTTAATATAGAATATATTGTATATATTAATATGACTATTGTATTTTATAATAAATCTTTTAGTAATTAAACTTTAAAATTATCAAAATAATTTTTTTCTTAACGGGTCTAAACGGGTTACCCACATGTATCCGCGTGTATACCCGTTATTAACGGATTCTTAACGGGTCACCTGATAATGATCCGATTAGTTATCGTGTTGATTCGAAATTCATTATTTTCGTGTCGTCATCGTGTCATGTCAGAAACTACCGAGTTTATAATATATCATCATAATTTCTCCAAAATTTTAGAATTGTCGCACATGTCACTTTCACATTGTTTTGTTCTCCTTTTGCGGAAAGTATGGTCACTTGTGGCGTGAACAAGTGGTGGAGTTGGTATGATGGTGTTTTCATCAATTTGCAAACACTTGCATGTTATCGGGTAAAATAACTAACGCGTGGTGCGATAAGTGTTCAAACCGTAATATACTTGAGTGACATGTAACAATCTTTTTTAGCTTAGGACGTCGTTTAATTGATTTTACGTGCTACATGTCATGTGATCAATACAACCTGTTTCAAAACCGTAACGTTCCCGATGACATGCAAGAATTTTCTAATTTGTAGAGCGTTGTTTTGAATTTGATTCTATGAAGTCCTTTGGAGTATAGAAAAAAGATGTATGTCTTGAATTTCAATCATTCAAATATTCATTCATAATTTGCAAAGTCTACGGTATAAAAAGTCAAATTAGGCCATCAAAGTGATGGGGCTCCTTGTACAACACTTGAACATCATCAATAAGCGGAGGAAGATGCGGCAACAACACTTTTGTTATGTTCCAATACCTCCTTCTTGTATGCTTCCATTGCTTCAGCTGCGTTTTCATTCCATACCTTTTTCTCTTCTTCCTTCATTTCCTATATAACCCAACAAGTGAAAGAAAAAATAGGATCAGTTTAATTAATTTAGGGTCAAGAAAATGTTACCAAACGCGTCTTTCGAACCCAAATTCAATCTCGTACCTTCCATTTCAATGAAATCATTGCAGTGATGGTGGTGCTGTTAGTCCCTGGTCTCTCCTCCAAAAGAGCCTTTCTTGCTTCCTTGCTGCATTATTCAAAACGAAACCGAAATCAGTTTTTATTCTCTTCTACCCAGCAGACATCCTACCATGGAGCTGGAAATATTTCCCCTCTCTGCCCCTCTATCGCTCTCATCACGTGACCAAAATTTTACCCCTTAAAGGGTTTCATGTATAATACATTACAGGACTAGTGAGGAACTTTACCTAAACAAGAGGTAAGAGGATGCAGGCCTCTTGGGCTTCTTCTTTTCTTCCTTCTTCTTCTTCTTCTGCTCCTCCTTCATTTTCCGTTAATTCATAGAACTCGATCAATAATCAACTAATCATACATTAGAAACCAAATTGGTAAAAACAACGGAGTTTACAGCTCGATTAGCAAACCTTGATAATATTTTCAGTCTTCTCCTTCTTCTTAAGCAGCTGCAAGACTTCATGCTTTTCCTTTTTGAGATTGGAAGCTTCCTCTTCCTTCATCTCCTTGTAAGCCTCCATCTCTTGAATATACTTCTCCTTGTTCTTCCTAGTCATCTCTTCATACGGCAATTTTTGTTCCTCTGTCATGTTTTTCCATTCCTCACCAGTGATCTTTGCAATCTACGAAATAGTCCCCAAATTGACTAGTTAAAAGAGATCAAAATAACCGAATACGGATAGAGATTTTTCATGTGGGGATGGTGATTTTCAGTTACCTCAGTGACAGTTTTGTTCTCTGCAGCCAGAGCCGGTCGCCTGCCGTTTGTGAACAGAAAAAAAGCCGACATTGGATGCTTGGGTTTCGATGGATCCTTTTCCTTGGATTTCTTGTTCTCCTTTTTGGCTTCTTGCTTGAACCGCATATATTGTTCAAGTAACTCCATAGCCATCTTCTGCTTGTGCTCATCCTCCAAAAGATACATTGCTTCAACCTCACTCTTCTCTTTCGCAGTCACTTGCAGATAAGCTTCCTTTTCAACCTGGTACCTCTCTTCGTAAGGCCTCTTCTCTTCGGGGCTGAAGTTCTTCCACTTGGCCCCCAAAATGTTTGAGACTTCCTTAAAATCTGCCTCAGGGTTCTCCTTCTTGATCTGCATCAAAAACCACAAGCGGATTCGGAATGTGTTTCGCATTTAAATCTCCGAACAATCATAGTGTCCTAATCTCTAATTTACCTCAGCCCACTGATCTTTGCACCATAGGATATAAGGAGGAGCTGGCCTTTTCTTCTCAGTGCACCCTTTCTTTTTCTTGTCTTCATCTGGTTGAGCAATTGGGAATGCCTGATGAAAAATAATGTTGATGTATAAAATCAATGAGGACTTTAGTACAACAGAAAGTGTTAAGTTTGTGACATTCGCTAGATTGCTCCGGTCACTAGTGTGGATAAGTATGTAAATGGATAGAGATAGGGAAGCAAACACAAGATGTACGTGGTTCACCCAGATTGGCTACGTTCACGGAGTAGAGGAGTTCTCATTAATTGTGAAGGGTTTACACAAGTACATAGGTTCAATCTCTCCTTTAGTGAGTACAAGTGAATGATTTAGTACAAATAACATTAGGAAATATTGTGAGAGAATGATCTCTATTTCTAGAAGAGAGTTTCTAGTTTCATTCTGACATTGACACGTGTCTTGTTGTGATTGGCTTCTGATGTTGACATGTGTTGCGCTATGATTGGCTTCTGATGTCGACATGTTTCGCGCTGTGATTGGCCTCCTGGTTTGAGGGAAACTCTTCTGGGTCTTTGACGGTATAATGTTGACTGGTGCTCAGTAGTTTTAGGATTGGTCAAGTATGGTATAAACAGTGCTCCCCTAAGTTCCCTAGTAAGGGAAGCTCCTCAGTTGCGGATTTGCAAGATCTAAGCCATTGAGTAATCACGAAACTTCTAAGTACCGAAGTGTGGTATCATTTTCACTTGCCTTATATGTTTCATATGTAGATGTGGCATCTTCTTTGGAAGTAATTTTCCTCCATCCAAGGGTGGTATTTTTAAACAATGAAGATGCACAAGGTAATGTATCAATTTCATTTGAAACTTACTTGTAGTTTCGGGCTTGGTCAAGTGCGATACAAACTCTATAGTAGGAGTCCCCCAAGTCACCGAGCTAGGAGATTTGCCGAATGAGGTAATAGACAAGGTAAGCAATCAAACTTCCAAGCAAGCAACTTGGATCGGAGGTTCGACTTCGGCTTCCGGTTGATTGTTCTCCTTCTCCTTGTGTCGTAAACAACAACAATGATAAGGAGAAACAAATGGAGAAGACATGATATGAGATACTTTTTTCTTTTGAAGAAGTAACTTTCCACAGGCTTATTCTTGAACTAGGCTTGAGGGTTTTTTGGTTTCCTCCAGAGTATAAGGCCGACTCAAGAATTTGAGGGTCAAAACAAGTCCATCAAATCTAGAG